GGGATAGAATCAAGATCACGTGAAGTGTTAATACCACTTTACAATGCCTTGGTAAGGCCACACTTGGAATATTGTATCCAGTTTTGGTCACCACGATGTAAAAAAGATGTTGAGACCCTAGAAAGAGTACAGAGAAGAGCAACAAAGATGATTAGGGGACTGGAAGCTAAAGCATATAAGGAATGGCTGCTGGAATTGGGTATGTCTAGTTTAATGAAGAGAAGGACGAGGGGGGACTTGATAGCAGTGTTCCAATATCTCAGGGGCTGCCACAAAGAAGAGGGTGTCAAGCTATTCTCCAAGGTGCCTGAAGGCAGGACAAGAAGCAACAGGTGGAAACTAATCAAGGAGAGAAGCAACCTAGAACTAAGGAGAAACTTCCTGACAGTTAGAACAATTAACCAGTGGAACAACCTGCCTCCAGAAGCGGTGAATGCTCCAACACTGGAGGTTTTAAAGAAGAGACTGGACAGCCATTTGTCCGAAATGGTATAGGGTTTCCTGCCTGAGCAGGGGGTTGGACTAGATGACCTTCAACGTCCCTTCCAACTTTATCATTATTATTATTATTACTATTACATATATATATATATATATATATATATATGATCACAATGAAATTAAAGTACATTTTAATACAATATATAAATAAATAGCACAATATATAAAATCCTATGTGTTATTTATATGTATGCATAAAATGTAAAAATACATAAAATAAACATGCATAAAATCCCATTTAAAAGACAATACTTCCCACATTAGTCCACTAAACTGATGGTTTACTGTATTCACATTCAGGCAGTGTCTGTCTGCCAGGACTGAGTTCATTCAAAAGATATTCTAGAGCAGTGGTTCTCAACTTGTGGGTCGGGACCCCATTTGGGGTCGAACGACCATTTCACGGGGGTCGCCAAACAAGGCTGTCCACCATTTTCCCCTCTTTACTTTGGCCACGCCCCTGGCACCCAGTGATGTATAAGTGGTTGGGAGTCACCACAACATGGGAACTGTATTATGGGGTCGCGGCATTAGAAAGGTTGAGAACCACTGTTCTAGAGGCTTATAATCTGTTAGACCACCTACTCAGTGAGATCCAGGAAGCCATGCCTGCATATCTCTATTAACCAGAATCCACTGTAGCAGCCTGTCTCTAGTAAATGTTTAAGCTGTTGAGTTCAGAGGGCATTGCTTAGATAGATACCTAGAAGGCAGGAAACTGATCTGAAAAGGAAGAAGAAGGCTTCTTTTCCCAACTAAATTTAGCCTTACAAGAAGAAGAAGGCTTTGCGATAGGGTGGGTGGCTTTGCAATATGGTGCAAAAGGTGGAAGAAGAAAAGGTCAGCGCCAGCAGATTATTTCAGAGTTGGAAGAAATCTTGTTTAATATAGTACCAATTGCAAAAAAAAAAAGTATCAGTGGCTAATAAATGTAATTGTGATTATTAAGAATAGTTTTGGTTGCCACATCTTAAAAAAGGACGTTACACTAACAAAATATACAGAAACAAGCAATAATCATAAAAAGACCGCAGCAATATTTGAAGAGTTGAGATTACATTATTTTTGCTTTTAAGTTTAGAAAAGCCACAATAAAGGTATTGTGTAAAATTATGTAAAATGCATATCTATTTTTCTTTCAAAATGCTAACATGGAAGATTGAGAATAAATAAGACAGTCTTGTGATGTCACCACATAATCAAAGTGGGGTATTTGTTACTAGAAGACATTACTGGAAAGGATTTGCACAACCCTGAAAAGGGGATTAAAAATCTTCACAAGGAGTAAGGCTAACAACAGTTGTTAGTCAGAAATTTCCCCCCCCCCACCACCTCTGAATTTCATTAAGGAACATCTGCAGTTACTATTTTCTTTGTACTTTCCTTGTGAGACTATCTTTGTGGAAAACTAACTGCCCTTTGTTCTGGTCTAATACAGATATGTCCCTGTTCTTTTAACAGTTGCCATTTCTCCCTCCCTGATGTTGGCTTCCAGAAACCTTTTTTGTCCTCATACGGTATTTTCCCAAACTACAAAGTTCTAGAGCCTTTGTGAGACAAACTGATATAGTCTGGAGACCAGGGTTTTCTCTAAGCCATGAAAATATCAGCAAGTTTCTAAAGCAGCCTCACTTTGATGTCTTTGAGATTATAAATCCCATAAATCCTACCCATAAGGTCTTTGGGAGGAACCATGTTGCAGAAAGTTATATTAACCAAGAACAACCAATGAGTTCAAAATACAAATAATACTTGAGTGTCAGGGCTGGGCTCCAGCTTATTCTCTGTGTTGATATTTATAATATTTCTATTTTTGCCACAGATTGAGCAACATTTTAACTCCGTTTCCTATTTGCTCAGTTAATATGTATGTCCTTCCATGTTAGTGGCCATCTTAATCACAACAGCACAATGGCTGCTACATGTAGTAAGCTGATTGTTTAAAGTGGCTAGCTTTGTGATAGAGAAACCATTTTCAACAAGCTCAACTTATTGAAAGTTTAATAGCATGAATTAAACTGAACGGCAGAACTGGAATTTTAAATATGACTTTCTAGGAGAAACTGACTCAAAATGATCATATTGTCAATTGCCAAAAAATCATGAATGGGCCTGAGTGCCAGTATAAACCAGATGAATAAACCCCTTCATATTAGAACTGAAAGTACAACTGAAATTAGTTATGAAATAGTAGACAACAATAGGAGTTAACGAAAATATTATATATACCTTTTTATTTTGGCATCTCTGATTTTTTTGCGATTGTAACCCTCAGAATAAATTTTGATATATAATTTTTAAATTTTGTCATGGAGCTCTGCTGTATCATTAGGCACCCATTATAATAGTAGAATAATTCTAATTACACTAGTAAACTAATCTATTACTACTATACATTCCATTATAATTATACATGGTTTTCACCAACTGCATAACTCAAATGCTTTTAGCGTGATATTAGGTGATCTGGAGCTCACACTTTCAGCTTATTGCTCACTCCCAAGCAAATGCATAAGTGAAGACAGAATTCCCACTCACTTTCTGTTTCAAATTGCCCACCAGCTCAGGTCCTTCAGCTACCAATCCTCTATGAAGTACACGGCTTACCTCTTTCTTCATGAAAAACGGGTAAGGTTTTAGAACTCCCCTCCTCAACTCCATGCACTTGTCCACATGGAACTGATTATATTTGCCTAGCAGCTTGCACAACATTCTTTACAGTGCTGTAGGCCACTATAGAATAGCTGAATGGGAAGACTGAATTTTGAAATTAGTAACAAATGCACGAAAAAGCCTCAAATTCTTTCTGCTCACCATTGTGCGAGATCAGTTATCAGTGAATTAAAAATATGAAGGCAGAATTCCAGTGAGTCCTGTGAATTTTTCCAAGTGAGGCATGGAAACAAACACCGTGAAGTTTGAATGTGAGATAAAATGCACTCTACAACTTTGCCTCAAGCTGGATTCATACATTTTTCCCTTTAGCATAGATTTCGTGTATATATATATATATATATATATATATATATATATATATATATGTGTGTGTGTGTGTGTGTGTATACACACACACACACACATACATACATACACACACACACACACACACACACACACACACACATATATATATATATATACACACACACAAATTGCTGCTCGAAGCATGAAGCTGAAAATACCAGCCTGAAGATGACGAATGGGACTTCGTTATATATATATATATATATATATATATATATAACATGAAAGAATGAATGAATACATATCTGTGTTCTATTGGCAAGCATTCTTAGGAAGCAACTAGTAAGCAAAATTATGTATAGAGTTGTATACATGAAATATTCATGTAACAATACTTCAATATTAGACCAGCAACACTTTATTCATTCTGATATTACACGTATTTATAATGCATTTTACAAAAGCTACCATAATCCCGTTGCAGGAAAGCGCTTCTTTGTTTATATTCTTGCTCTGTTGAATTGTAATCTGTTTTACAAATGGGAAATGCAGCCTTTGTTCATGGAAAAGGCCTATAGGGGAGAAAGTATAGTCCTCACTTAATGGCAATAATTGGGACCAGAATTTCCATTGCTAGGCGATGTGGTTATAAAGCAGACATCACACGACATTTCTTAGTGACAACAATCCCAGGAGTCCCTATTACTGTTCTTAAACAAAAATTGTGGATCACTAAGAGAGGACCTAACAGAGACATCATCTTGTCCCAGTTGCAATGTATGGCTGTGAAATTTGGACCATGAGAAAGGCTGAGCAACAAAGAATTGAGGCCTTTGAACTATGGTGCTGGAGAAGACTCCTGTGAGTCCCCTGGACTGCAAGGTGATCAAACTGGTTAGTCCTAGAGGAGATCAACCCCAACTGCTCTTTAGAAGGCCAGATCCTGAAGTTGAAACTCAAATACTTTGGCCACCTAATGAGAAGGAAGGACTCCCTGGAGAAGGGTCTAATGCTGGGAAAGATTGGGGCAATAGAAGAATGGGACGACAGAGAATGAGGTGGCTGGATGGAGTCACTGAAGCAGTAGGTGTGAGCTTAAATAGACTCCAGAAGATGGTTGAAGACAGGAAGGCCTGGAGGAACGTTGTCCATGGGGTCGCGATGAGTCGGACGCAACTTCGCAACTAACAACAACAACAAAGAGAGGACCTCATGTGACTGTGACTTGCAATTTCCTACTGCTTCTCACAAGCAAAGTTGATCGAGAAACTAGCTGGAAGTTTCAAGTCCAAGGTAGCTCAGAAGCAGCTGGGGTGGTGGGTGAGTTTTCTCTAGAGCAAGGCGGGGGGGGGGGCTGCAATGGGTGTGTGCAGGTTGGGAAGCTGTTATTGTGGTACCATCCAAGACTGTGTGGGCTGGAAGGGCTCGGTGTGGTGCTGTTCAAGTGCCTGTGAGCTAGAGGGGTGCTGCGGTGTGTGCGAGTGTGTGTACATGCTGCAGAGAGGGTGTTGAGGCAAAGCTCCTTGGGAGAAAAAGCAGAAAGAGTGACTTGCAATCTTCCCTGCTGGCTTCCTCATTAACTTTGCTTGTGGGAAACTGGCAGGGCTGTAATCATTTTGCCCAATAAAGTTGCCCAGACAGTGGTGACTATATGAGGAAAGCAAAGAATATTGGCATTTCTCTGATTTTATTATTAGCCCTACTGAACTTTTCTATATATGATGGGGAATAAAATATGTGGTTTGGACATACGGAAACTTTTTTTCTGAAATATTTCCAACCCTGGCTCTGACCAAAAGCAGTTCACTGAAGTACAGCTTGCTTTCATTCTGTTCTTTCTTGAGAACATGAAAAGCAGATTTAATTGTAATTTTAGTAAATTCAGATTTTAGGAGGAGGCAGTAGTAGCAGATGTGTTCATTGTTTTGAGTTATTTATAAAAAAAACAATAAAGGTGGAATATAAATAAATAAATAAAATCCTAGATGGCATGTGTGGACACAAAAGGTGGAAAGAAAGTGTATTCATTGAGGGAAAATATTCTAATGCTCAGAAATGTTGCCAATCAGGGACAGAACTTAAAATTTTTCTCAACTACTACTTTGTTCTTTATAGAGAATTTTCTCCATACAGACTAACATCTAATCATCGAAGTTTCCCTTTGTGACCAGTAATTATCAAAAGTTTCCCTTTGTGGCCAGTTGTGTACTCCCAAAAGGACAGGCATCATCACTTGTCAGCCATTTAAGACAGCTGATCCCAGTGACTGGGCTTGCAGCTGGATACAGTGCTACCTTACAGCTATGATAGTAATTATGGAGATCTTCCTGTACAAGGGAGTATCTTTTTACTCCTGCACACCACCACCTTTGGAATAAAAAATGAGCTGTAGTGCTTTCATCTTGATGTGCTCATCCATATGAGAACAACTTCACTCACTTAAAAGGAGCACTATGGCTCTAGATGCTTGCCCAGTCTTGAAGCTAAATAAGCCGCTTTCTCCTGGAAGCTGTTGGCCTTTCTTAACATGTCAGAAAGATCAAGTATCAGAATAAATACTTAGTTCTGATTTGTCAGATATTATCATCCCCATATTGTCATGCTCAAAGAGGGAAAGTACACATTATTAGTGATAATCTGCTGTTGTGCCAGGCTAATTTTTTTATTATGATCAACAATTCAGCCAAATATTTGCACAGAAGCCTATTTGCTTATGTTGACATTTTTTAAAACTGTGGAAAAAAAAAGAACTGCAAAATACAGAAAATATTTGCTTTTCACAAAAGTTAGCCTTTCTGGTTTATGATATTGTTGATTTTTTTTTTATACTCAACTAAATTTCCGATCATTACTTTTGTAAATGGCTAACTGATATGTTCATGGTTCACATCCTCTTAATACAGTGCAAAGTCTTCCAGCAACAATTTCAAGTATATTTAACACTGTTTTACTAAAACGGAAATTACATAGCTTTTCTATGGACAGTTTCACCAAAATAGTACAACTATACAAAAAAGATAAGCCTTTTTAAAAGTATGGCTAGTCTCATGATGAAAATAAAAACTGAAAACAGATTTCCTTATTTTAAGATGATTGTATCTCTGTTCAGTAGCATCTCTTTGAAAATCAGCCTTCTCTTTAGAAAAAATACAGATTTTAAGTGATGTAATACTTAAGATACAGTAAAAATTGCTTTTTTCCCCTATGTTTCATTCTGTGTAACTTTGTGTTTTTATTCCAAGTTCTTTTTGCTACATTTCTTTTTTCTCCTGGATGTACCTAAGAAGACAAATTTGTCTGAGAAAGAGGGGGAAAAGGTACATTTTTTTCTTCCTCTCCATGAGGTGAATAACACTGGTGTCAGAAAAGCACAAATTCAGAATCATAGCTTCAGAAGTAAAAGTAGCATTCTAGCCAATTAATATTTCAACATTTAATCATGTTGTTAACCTGGAGTGTTCTTGTTTACATATATATTTATATAGATAATATAAGAATACAGCCAAACGCTACCTATGTGAGATTATGTAGGTTTTAAAAACCACTTTACATCACTTAACATACTTATCTTTTTGTCAACTGCATGAGCAAATGCCACGATAGTTGGGCTTTTGATTATCTTATTAGATACAATGACAAACTGTACAGAAAAAAAAGTGAATGTAAGTTTCGATGGAAGGGTTTCCAAAATCAGCACTAAATAATTTGAGGTTTTTAAAATGGCTCAGCACTGGCCATTTATAGGATCTGTGATACTGAATGAAATTTGTGTGGGGCTCATTTGTTGCAACTGAGGCATTCTTGCTTCCAGAGACTTTTCTGTGGGAGATCCCACTGACTGATTCCTTTTCCTCATCATCTGTCCAATGCCCATCATGGGGAATCGGCCTCTACTTTTCACACAATTAGGGCTCCCCAAAGGATTGGAGACATTCAGCTGCGTTGGAGAGACAGCTTCCTCTTTGAAAGAGCTGCTTTTTTCATCATATGTAAATGAAAGTTGAGTGGGGTGCCCTGGACTTTTAGTGGGACTGGGAGAAGTGCCCCCAGGCTGCAAGAGGGGAGACAGTGTTCTTTCACTGGAACTTCTTCGACCAAAATTTACTGGTGAGCTAAGCATTTGATACTGATGAGATGGAGAGACTTGGTCTATCTGATCCTCTCGATCACCAGTTTCAAAAGAATGTACAATGTTCAGAATCAAAGGAGAATCCAAAGTCTGACTGCCAGGACTTGAGGGCTCTTGTTGAGGTGAATCTTGCCGTTTCCCAAGTCTTGGGGTTCTTGGAACTGGTTGCTGAATTTCAAGGTATTCCAGAGAGTAGGAGGTGACACAGCCCACCTTGCCCGTTGCTCCTTCATAGAAAGGATTCAAATTACTAGGAGAATCTATGATGTAATGCAGAAAGCATCAAATGAAAAACCACTAGGGGAGATTAGTTTTTTTTAACCCCCATCCCCTCACAGAATGCAAGCTTTAATTGAGAACTTGCTTAATAAGGGTGAGAAAAAAGCTTTATGGAAGGACTTGGGGCTGGCCAATATTAAAACCCAATTCATGAATATGAAAATATAATACCATAACAAAAATTCAATTTACAAAGTGCCACTAGTCCTTTGTGCATACTTCTGACTACCCAGTGACAAGGGTATAACTATTTTGGGACTGAGGGCACACCTAAACGTTGAACAGAGTACAAATAGTTACCCTTCAAATAGTAAAAGTCCCATAGTCTGGGAAATGCTACGACCAACACATACCTCTTTCAGGCAATCCTCCATGACTTGCTCTTCGATCACTTAGCAGAGACTTTTTGTTTTGCATCTGCGTTGTAAGGCAGGAGGAAGGCTCTTTGTATGTTGGTAGACTTTTCTCAGATTTCTTCAGAAATGGATGAGTAAGGTCACCTTTTGCTTCTTGCTCCTTGGTTTTTTTGTCCTTCAAATTTAAGGCACACATAAAAATGGTTTGTCAGAGGCACTTCAGAAGGATTAAAAAGTTTTAAAAGCAACATCTAGAGTTCAAAAAGTTACTTATCAATGGCGATAAATATATCATGTCTGTAGCTTTCTTGATCACATCAAAATGATGTTAAGAACCTTTCAAAGCCTCAGTTAGAAAGAATATTTTTCATTTGCAGGAACTGACTACATTTATTTATTTTAAAACATGTTAAAGTTATCTAAATATTTCTAAATAGCCCACAACAAATGAGAGTGGCAAAATTTACAAAAACAAAAATAAAACTAGAACTAATTAGAACCGCAAGTACAGTACTTATTCAAGATCCTCTTAAAATTGTCTTTTAGATTTATTTTTCAAAAACTCACTTTTGTCCATTATTTTGGTCATTTAACTTTTACTATACTAATGGTACGATTTAATGCAGTGTTTCGTATTCATATGAAAAATATAGAAATTGAATTGTTTTTTAAAAATAAATATATATAGTGTTTGATTTTAGAAATTTTTATTTGAATATGCATTGTGGGAAAGCTTTTCTTGGTTTTGCTCATGAATTGTCCTTAGTAAAACAAAATTATAAACAAAAACAATTTTTATGGACCTCTTTCAGATTTTCCCCTTTTTCAAGTTTGCCAAGAAAATATGTTTGCCACATTTCTAAGTGATCTGGGCCAATTTCCTGCTCATGCAGAAATCTACTAAGCCAGCCTAGAGACATGGTTTTGCAACCTGTTGGCAAAATTCCAGCGGAGGAAGTCTACTCTAGATCTAAGTAGATTGTTCTCCCACTTAATAGCTTTAATCATCAGGAAATTCTCCCTATATTTAAGCCTTTTCATATCAATAATTTGGTCCCTATCCTAACTTTTTTTTCTTTTGCTTTTTGGTACTGTCCACTCTAATGGCAGAAAGTGAAGAGGAACTAAAGAGCCTCTTGATGCGGGTGAAGGAGAGTGCAAAAGTAGGCTTGAAACTCAACATTAAGAAAACTAAGATCATGGCATCTGGCCCTCTCAATTCCTGGCAAATAGATAGCGAAGAAATGGAAATAGTGACAGATTTTATTTTCCTGGGTTCCAAGATCACTACAGATGGGGACTGCAGCCAAGAAATTAAAAGACGCTTGCTCCTGGGGAGAAAAGCTATGGCAAATCTAGACAGCATACTAAAAAGCAGAGACATCACCCTGCCACAAAAAGTACGTATAGTCAAGGCCATGGTTTTCCCAGTTGCAATGTATGGCTGTGAAAGTTGGACCACAAGAAAGGCTGAGCACAAAAGAATTGAGGCCTTTGAACTATGGTGTTGGAGAAGACTCCTGCGAGTCCCTGGACTGCAAGGCGATCAAACCGGTCAGTCCTAGAGGAGATCAACCCCGACTGCTCTTTAGAAGGCCAGATCCTGAAGTTGAAACTCAAGTACTTTGGCCACCTAATGAGAAGGAAGGACTCACTGGAGAAGAGCCTAATGCTGGAAAAGATTGAGGGCAATAGAAGAATGGGACAACAGAGAATGAGGTGGCTGGATGGAGTCACTGAAGCAGTAGGCGTGAGCTTAAATGGACTCCAGAAGATGGTCAAGGACAGGAAGGCCTGGAGGAACGTTGTCCATGGGGTTGCGATGGGTCGGACACGACTTTGCAACTAACAACAACATCCTACCTTTAGTTTCAATATAGATTCATTACTTCGTGCATGTGATATACTCTTTTAAATATTTGTAGACTGCTATTATGTCTTTCTTGGGTTTTTTTTTAACAACCTGCACATGCACATATGAGAAGTATTTCTCAACAAGCAGAGTATTTTGAATGGGAAGTGGCTGTCCAAATAATTTGGTGCCAAACACAGACTGTTAAAAGCAGACAATACTGCTCTGAACTGGTTGAACCAGTGCAGCTGCTATTGCAATGGAGTCACATGGTCCCATTATTGAGGAGTTGCTACTTTCTAGAAAAACTTATTTTCAAAAACTTTTGAAAAGCTGCCCTGCAGAGAACAGGTTTCAAAAATAATATTGAAAGTAGTAAATAGACCTTCGACAGTATTATTAACAGTATTTTACATTGCACCTTTCAATAGCATTGCTTAAGAGAGGGCTGTAAAGCACTATGAAGCAGTATATACTGTAAGTCTACTTGCTACTGCATACTTATAATCTTTATCTAATCCATCCTCATGATCAATTTGTGATATGAGTCGATTTCTTTCACATATGGAAAAGAAAGATAATGGCTCACCCAGGAAGCCCTTTAAGTTAAGCCAGTGAGGACTACTGAAAAGGGTTTCCCTTTGCATTTTCTGCAGTTTTTGGTTTTATGGCAAGGTACTGCAGAACTCTACATGATGTCTGCCTCCATCTCCATGGTAATACACAGATGCACTTTCAAGCATCTCTTATGTTCAGAATAGCTGTTCACAAATCACAACAGGGTGTCTATAAATGCAAGTTAAAAGGACATTTTGTGTGTAATGGTTGAAGAATACTTTTCAAAATAAATGGAAGAACCTTAGGACCCTAAAAGCCTCTAGTTAGTACGCACTAATAACAAAATTGGCACTGAAGTAGGATATGACATACAACGAAAACTTTTTTTCAAGAACAAGGATTCAAACCTTTTATGACCAAAATACTTTTTTATTTTGTTATGTTGTTCTATTAATTGTAATTTTTTTCAATACCTAGGGGCTGTGCTGTTATTTTTTGTTCTGTTTTATGGCAAGGACAATTACGTGCAGAAAAAGGTAAAGCAACAATGTCTAATTGCCTGAGTATTTAAAACAATTTTGGCAACTTCGCCATATTATTAGGTCTATTGCAGCAATCTGAAATTTATTCTCTCTGCAAGTGCTGGGAGCTGCATTTTAATGGCAATAGTCAGATTGAGGTAGGAGAGAGAGCTAGGAAAAGAAGGGCAGATTCTACTAAATTCCTCTCCTCAGGAAAAATGAAGCAGAAAGAGAAGTGCACTTCTGGACTGTTGCCAGAGAGAAACTATGTTTATTTCTAATCTATACAGAAGCTTAGACTAACTTTTAAGTGGCAATATCATATTTTAAAAATATATTTTATCAATGTAGGGCTGCTTTTTACTTGCATCAATATAATTCAAAATTACACACAAATATTTAAAAAGCTGACTACTTACTCATTATTTCCCAATGTTTTTTTCATCAGTTGTCACTTTATTGCCCTCTAACATTGCGTGTCACTGAATTGTTATTGGACTATTTTGGAATAAATGTCCTCCCTCCCATTAGTTTTCCCCTTTAAAATTATTTTATGCCTTGTAAATCTTGATAACCACTATTCCGCATACAATGAAAGAAGTGGCTAAAGATATAGTGGATATAGATGATTGATATTACATGATATGATATTTTTTGGAGCAAAACATTTTATAAATCTCATTCATTCAACCTTTATGGCTATCAATTAAAAACAACTTTTACAAAGTCACTAAACATCTGGGAATGGATTTATTTTTGTTTTCTTTGTTAAATCAAAAGTCTGTTGGTTTACAGTAATAACCAGAGGGAAGTCCAAATACTATCTGGCTCCAAATGACTAAGTAAAAGATTTACCTCATAGGAATCCTTATTGGATTTGTATTTTTCTAACCGACAAAACTGGTTAGTGCACATATTATCAGAAGCTTCAGTTTTCTAGAAAGATGAAAATAGGATATAACTTTAGGAAAGATATATTTACACATTTAATATGTATTACTTTCATTCTATGCATCACTTTGTTAAATTAGCTCAACAAATACTGGCTTTTTTTAAATTCAGAAATTGCTACAAATCAATAACTAAATATATTATATTACTAAATATATTATTAATTATTAAATATAGTACTATATAATAATATATATTATTATATTACTATATGAGTTAACACATAACATTTATTATTTTCCCATTCATATAAACTAGACAATGCAATTAAGCTGGAAAGCAAGTACAGCATAGCATTTCAAAAACTGAGTTCGGACAATTCCTTTAATATTTAAATTAAAAAGCCTCAAAATCATCCCAATATGATTAACGGGAATTATTCCCAAGGGCAGAGAGGTTATAACAAATTTCCTTATTAATGGTCTCACATCTCATGTATCACAAAAATAAATCTAATAAATCAAAAACCAATTCAAAGGCCAAGAAGTTGGCAGTATTTCTCCAACTAATTGACTAGACCAAAGCTTCCCAACCTTTTGGGCACCAGGGACCGGTTACGTGGAGAGAGGTTTTTCCACAGTCCGGAGGGGGCATGGTTTTGCGTGCTGCCTGTGGATGGGGCTTTCCTTGTTTGTGCAGAGTGGTTGCTGGCATGCTGCAGCCTGGTACTGGTCCATGGACTGGGGATTGGGGACCCTTGGACTAGACAAGTCTTTTAGCCATTTTTGATAGACTAAAAAGATATGCCCCATTATTACAAAAAAAAAAACCCTACAAAATCTGAATCACATATTTTGTTTTTTTAAAGTGCTTGGTTCAGGTACTTAATATAATGTGATATATATTATTATATTAGAGAAAATCTTTGTGATTGCTAAGCAAAGACATCACATAATCATATAACAGCACATAATCACATAACAGCACATAATCAATCAATCATATACTAATAAGATATTCGGTGTAACAGAGACATCATTTTTTGTAATACAGAGACATATCATTTAAGAATCAAATACTGATTTATTGCAATGGAAATTTATTCAAATGTAAGATATACAGTACAGTGATTTTATGTTATAGGAAAATAGCCCTAAAAGATAAGTACTATTCCTTCTAACACTGAAGTCAAATGATGACTTCTAACAGAAATAAAAGCAAATGATAGTAGGGATTGTACATGACAGGATTTATTTATCTATTTTCATCAATGATAATAGTAATAATAAACTCAAGGATTAAAACGACACATTGACTAGAGCAGCGGTTCTCAACCTTTTAAATGCCGTGACCCCCAACCGGTCATAAGTCGAGGACTACTCAACCGGTCGTAAGTCGAGGACTACTCAACTGGTGCAGCACCGTTTGCAGAATGGGACTTTTGGCGGGCTCAGCAGGGCAGAGACAGCCTGGACAATTCCTATTGGCTTTTGAAAGCCAATAGAATTAGACTCTATTCAAGAGAGTCTATACTATTGGCTTTCAAAAGCCAATAGAATAAAAGGGAGTAGCACAGCTAAGGAAAAGGGGGGAAAAATGGCATACTGTGTTGTTTGGCGACCCCCGTGAAATGGTTGTTCGACCCCAAATGGGGTCCCGACCCACAGGTTGAGAACCACTGGACTAGAGAAATAAATATGAAAAGAGAAGCAGAAAAGGGAGAAGAATTGGGCTGAAATATCCTGGAAGAGATCAAGTCAGAAAGCATTTGCAGTAGACATGATAGTGATGTGCTGCAATATGCTGCAAGGAAAATTCCATCTACTGCACTTGAGTTTTTAACACAATAAATCAAATATTTCTCACACTATGGAATTTCCCCAATAATCGTACAGAAAGGGAATGGAAAGAATGGAACAGACACTGTACTTGTACTGGAGGGCAAATAAAAAAAGATTTGTTGCGTGAGGTCAGAGGTGAGAATTGTTTTGTTTAAATGGATTAGACTAAGGAAGCAAGGGCAAGCATCAGCCATGAATTGCTCTATGTTTCTTATTTTTTTCTTTTTTTGTTTGTATTTTTATTTTATTAAAAAAGTTAATACAAAACTCCAAAAATTAAAAAAACAAAGAAAAGACACAAAAAACCAAGACATTTAAAAAGTGCATTATAAAAACTAACACATATACACATATTACCCCTAGTATTTAATACATTAGTACAATATTAATTCCCCGCCCCTTTGTGAAACTGTCTCAAAAATTTTTTAAACTACTAAATCTATTTGCAAATTATTGATGTCATCTATATACTGTACCAATGACCAAATAGTAACAAGAAGAACAATAAGCAATCAGAACCATAATAATGTTTCTTATTTTTCAATGCCATTTAAAAATAGTATGTTAAAAAAAAATCAATAGGCTGGTCCAGCCTTTTCCAAGAATGGGTCCCATTGTTTTACCGCTTCTATTAAAACAAAATTGCAGATTTTGTTTCTGCTTACTGAAGATGAAGATTACAGGTAGTTCTCAACTTACAGCAGTCCATTTAGTGACTGTTCGAAGTTGCAACAGCACTGAAAAAGTGAGTTTTTCACTTACAATTGTTGCAGCAGCCCCATGATCACAAGATCAAAATTCAGACGCTTGGCAACTGACTCATATTTATGACAGTGTCCTTGTGCCCAGCAAAGTCAATGGGGAAGCCAGATTCACTTAACAACCGTGTTACTAACTTAATAATTGCAGCGATTCCCTTAACAATTGTGACAAGAAAGGACATAAAATGGAAGAAAATTCATTAAACATGTCTCATTTAGCAACAAAAGGTTTGGGCTCCATTGTGGTCGTTAAGTCGAGGACTACTTGTATAAACCCATACAGTACATAGCTATGTGGATATAAAAAGCACTAAACTCAGGCATATCTCCAAATAAATCACCCCAAGACTGGGCTTTGAAAAAAAAGTTTATTCTGATTTATTTTTAATTCAGACGTTTGTATAGTGTTTGAAAAATATGAATATTCTTTTCTCATATAGAAGATTTATCTCACATCTTCTAAAGACACCTAAGTCATTGCTAGACAAATTAATAATTACATTAAAATAAACAGAATTTCCAAAGAAACACATTTAGGATTGTGCAAAATTTGTTTTTAAGAAAATTTATTAAAATTATAGACAGCAATGCTGTTCCCCTAACTTTTTTTGTATTACATAATTAAATTATTTTCAGTTCCAAAGTCACAAAAAGCATGGCATACAGAGAAAAAATATCTATGTTCCTCACAATCTAATAAGTTATTAATTGATTCATCGTGCTGCTCAAATCTATTTATTTCCTGACTGGATTAAATTGTTTGAAAATATACATGTGATAAGCAGGTAGAATCAAAGTAGCTCTATTTCAACTGAAGTCTACCAGTTTACCCCAACAGACTACAGCTTCACTGGATCCTGCTATAGCTTCACTGTTCCCTGTAACTTGAAAAAACAAACTAACCCTTTCTAAGGTAAATTTCTTTGTCATAATAAAGAACAAAAAAATGTTGGCATAGTGGAATAGACCCGTGGAAAAAGGCTTTTACGTACAGAGAAAGCTTTCACTAGAGGCTTCGAAACAAAAGTAGTTTTTGCCCAAGGATATTCTTAATTATTCAAATTAGCTATGTTTTTTCCTCCCAGATATTCCATTCCATTCCCTAATTTTCCTTACAAGAGATGCTCAGCAATCTGTGATCAGTGGAAATGTCCAGTTTTAAAGGCTGTTCCCTTAAAGTTCTTTATATTTTGAGGTGGTTCAGATTTTTCTCCCGCAGTTGTAGCATTTCCCATGCATATTGTACTTATTTCTTAATATCTCCAATTTTGTTCCTGTCATTCTATTCAACTTTGTAGTATTCAACAATCATCCAAAATTATACTTACTTTTGTGCCTGTTGTATAGCGCTCTAGCTTCTTATTAAGAAGGATGTAGATGGCAAGCATGTGGCAAGCTCTGTTTGAAAGAATAGTGTTGATCACATCACTATTCTTATAGCCAAGCTTTTCTGTCATGTACAGCAGCACGCTTTGGCTTACGTCTTCTAGATGAATTCTGCAAAAAAGATTAACAATAATGTAGGTAGTCCTCAACTTACAATCGGTCACTTAACAACCGTTTGAAGTTATGGCAGATCCCTCAAAAGCTACTTATGACCTAGTCCTGAAGGTATGGCTGCTGCAGTCCCCATGTTCATTCATCCACAGGGACACTGCAGTGCCCCTGCTTATCTTCCTCTTTCCCCTCCTGGTCCCTGCAAGCATTTTCCTCTCCCAATTACTTCCCACTGGCCTTATCCCTCTGCACATGGCCACAAGATAAAGCAATTCATTCCAGCACTCTGGAAAGCCTCAAAGCTTTTCAAAAGGTGAGGAGGAGGGTATTTGGCCTGTTGGGGTGGGAATCAGGCTTAAGCTTGGGGGAACCCATTGGCAGTGGGGAAAGGCCTGTGAGGATCCAAGGGGCAGGAAGCAGAAGAAACGCAGACCTGGGCCTGTTCTAGGACTCCACCCGAGGCACCCCATGCTCTATTTAATAAACTGCACATTTCTTTAACAATTCACTGGGAAGAGCAGGGTAGTGGGATCGTTAAGTGAAATGCTTCACTTAACAGCCATTGTGAAATGCAGCCATTGCGGTCCTATCTCGAGGACAAGCTGTAGGCTATCTTCAAGTTTCTCAGGAGAAAGATGGCAATCCTAAAGGCTACAGCATTCTTGAAAATCACCATGTTAATTAACATGATTAAAAGATCTAATCAAGCTGATAATTTTGTTCAGACTATGTTAAAAGAGAAATCTACAAATTGTTAAATTTTCCTCTGAAAAATTGATAACTGGATGCTCTCCCTTGATTCAAACAACATGTGTAGGAATGAAGGGAGACCCATCTGAGGATTTAAAGGCACTGGTAATGGAAGCCGGCTTGGCATAAAAAGAAAGCTAGAGTTAGATTTAAAAATGGGATTTTCTTTCTCCTTTTTCTTTCTTTTGTTGACTGATGATAGAATAGCTTAAAATCTTATTTAATGAGCTAAGAAGATTTTTAAAGATATTGATTGATTTAATATTTAGGACTTAGATTTATAAAGCCATTAGATTATAGTTTTGAATTGTAATATGGATTTGTGTACTAGGATGAGAAATTTAGAATATATTTGTGAAATAAAGTAAGAATGTAATTATCCAAACAATATGTGTATTTTAGATACAATAACTATTTTGTAATGAAATTAGGAAAACTTGGGTTACATGAAGTTTAAATATTATGGTTACTAAAGGCTAAATTGGAACATGGTAATTGAAGTTAGGTAAAACTTAAAAACAGGACTTGGATATGTATAAGTAAAATTATATTGACAAATGTATTGACTGATTGAGCTATTAACTAGAAATGTATTAACCTGAATTTGATACAATAATTAAGGGAAATAGAGAGGAAACTTTTAATGATGAAACCTGAGATATGTACGAAAGATTTTGTTACTGGACTATTGATTACCCAATCACCGCGCTGCTTCCTAATTACTTGGATGTAAAATTGAAAAATTAATAAAACTTGTTATAAAAAATATGTTTTTAAAGAAGAAATTTGTAACTTAAAATGTATCTATGTGGTAGATATGCACAATCCAGTTTATGGAGATTTTTCCACATTTTAAAAGAATCATTTATTTAGCTACTTGGAAGGGAAAGGGACCATTAATTATGTACTTCTGTACATTTTCAAAAAAACATTGACTGGTTGATTGACTGAAACACTGATTGACCATTAATCATGTATATAACTTCCACTTCTATTGTAGAATTTTGAGTTTACAGTTTTTCAGACTCCATGCATGGTCCATGGTCAGAATGTAGATGTATAAAAAAGGGTCTTCTCCACAAGTGTGCCTTCTATTACAGGATGGTGAAATAAAAGCCAATGGGCACAGCCTTGCTCTCCACCCCAAGAAACTCTTTATTATTTAAAAACAGTAGTTAATTGTGTGACAGGGAATGGAACAATTGATTAAATGGCCTTCTAAAATTTGGTGTCTTCTAGATATGGACTGACATTCCCCTAAATTTCTTACCATCTGTCTAGGACAGGACTTTTCAACCTTTTCACCCATTGTACCACTTTTAGGATATGGCAATATCCAAGTACCACCAGTCGCCTAGCAAGGTGTCAAAAACTTGATGACCCAAAAAAAAAAAAAAAAAGGAAAAAAGTGATGAAATACAGGCAGTCCTTGACTTACAACAGTTCACTTAGTAACTGTTCAAAGTTACAATGGCACTCAAAAAATGCCCCCAAGCCACAGCCGAGCAAGACATCTGCCTGCCCATCTGGTGGTGCTCTTCCTCCTGTCCGAGGTTTTCATTGTTGTGAGCATTTCTGTTGAGGATTGGCAGTGGGGGTGGGGTGTGGGGGTGTTTGGTTTTTATTCCCCCGTCTGCTGGGTGGTTGCAGCAGGTTTTGGCCACTTCACATGACCCGGGACACTGTGACCGTCATAAATATAAATCAGTTGCCAACATCTGAATGTAAATCACAAGACCTTGGAGATGCTGCAACATTCCAGCTGATCAGTGCTTCTTCTGGGCTCAGCGGAAGCACTAGGATCAGCGCCGAGCTCCAGCTGGAGCCTGGTGCTGATGCTGGCGCTTCTGCTGAGCCTTGACAGCCCTGCAGCTGCAGCCATCTCTCGCTCAGGCTTGTGCAGTGCTGCCACCAGTTCAGCTCATTCCCCTCCCCCACCACCACCGCTTTTCTGGGATGGTCGCATACCACCTGCCAGGTGCCAATGTACCACATGTGGTACCCGTACCATTGGTTGAAAAGCCCTGGTCTAGGAATTCTAGAATTGCTAGTTCAAAGAGTACTGTTTGTGAAAGGCTAGAACAGAACTTTGGCTATAGGAATAGTTGCAAATGAATGCAATAAAACTTTTAAAACAAAGAGCCCTTCAAAATATCAACATTAACTTCATCCAATTAAGAAGTTTTCAATTCACTGAGCATCACCACCCAGTGCCGGGCTCTTAAAACTGCTTATTTTCTGCTCCAGATTATTTTGGCAACATTATTCCCAATAAGTAGTAGACAAGCTGCATGTGACTTCTATATAAATATATTCAAAGCAACCCAATTAAGATGAATATTTTTTTCAAGTTTTAAATCTGAGTGACAATTCAGTGGCAAGAAATTAAGAACTTTTTAAATTCTATTAAAATTAAGCAAATTAGAAGTGCTTGACTTTGGCTGAATCAAGGACTACATGTGTAAATTCTGATTACAAAAGATTTCTCATTCTTATTACTTCTGTTCCAAGTTATACAGATGTTGATGAAAAATGTCCATTGTCATGGCTACATGTCTGTATTTTATTGCCTTTAAAAAAAGGTTATTGTTTTTTGAAGCATATAACTAAAGATCAATAATTATTTTATGTTCTTAGTAATAACAATTTATAAAAAATTATATGTAATTTATTCATAAAAATGCCATTATACTTTCTCTGTACTGATTTAAATTATTAGCAAAACTAGTAAAATTCCCCAAGCAGTAATTTACATTGTATTTATGCTTTGTTTTCTGCCAGAAATAATATCCAAGGTGGCTATAAAAATAAAAGATAATTGAAAGCACAAGTAAATATAATTAAATATAATTTAAAACTGATAGCATCTATCTAGACTCAGGTGAAAAGGCTGCTTAATTAAGGGAAAAAAATCCAACATCTTCTTTATGGTAGAGATTTCCAAAGCCTGCAAACAACCACCATGAAGTTTTCCATAATCTCAATGAATCTGTTCCTGATGCTGGCCAAATTAAAAACAAGATGGCTGCTATAAGAGTCAATATAATTGTCACGTAGCCTGATGCTAAGCTATATGTGGTTGATAGCACTTTAAATTGTATACAGAATCAAATTCATAGATATTAACAAGAGAGGTCACTTGCTCACTGTAACTAACCATTGTCAACATTCTGGCTGAGGCACCTGAATTAACAGAACTCCAATCACTTTTCAAATCTTCACATAAAGAATGTTACGTTAGTGCAAAGAGGAACGAACTGAAGTATGGGTTCCAATCACCACATTTGCTTAATGACTGCTGCACAACAATGTGGTAAAATCAGGCCAGTCATGTGATGACCCACTTAACAACTGGCACGACTTACAACCATAATTCCGGGCTCAATTACAATAGTAAGTTGAGAACTACCTATACATATTACAACACTTGCCCCCCCCCCTTCAAAAAGGGTACTGAAAACTAATTGGAAATTATCCATTGTAGGATTCAAAGAACTTTTTTTTATTAAAGCAAGTTTTCCTTATTGCTTCTTTTAGACATGAAGAATCAAACTTTATTAAAAGTGACAGGTTTCACAACTTCAACAATCTTCCCCATATCCTAAGGTTCCACAGTACGGGTCTTCAAACTTGGCCCTTTTATGACTTGTGGACTTCAACTCCCAGAAATCCTCAGCCAGGCACGCTGGTTGAGGAATTCTGGGAGTTGAAGTCCACAAATCATAACAAGGCCAAGTTTGAAGACCCCTGTTCTACAGAATGAAAAACATCAGCAAGAGTAGTACATTTGATATTAAATTCCAAAGAAATAGACCAAAGATCATAGTAAAAGATTGACTGTTTCAATCTTCCTGAAAATTAATTCTTAATTTGTTCAGATTTGGGATCAAATTAAACAAATATTTGCATTTTTAAAAATGTAAACAGCTGATAATTATAGAAATTACAGCAGGTAAAAACAGGAAGAATATTCATTTCTTCCCTGCTTGCCAATGTCGTGCAAATTAATTGTTCTGTCCTATTATTTGTATTGGAAGAAATGAAAATTTACACTTGCATGCTCAACCATTACCCTTAGATATTGATTTCTGAAGAAAAGGGGGAGTTTTTATAATCATGAAGTTATTAGAATGCATTATAAGTATTTGGCTGGCTCTTTTGTACTGGAAATAAGAGTTTTAGATTACAATCCTACACATTTTTTATGGGACTAAGCATTTTCCTATTTAACTATATTTATTTCTGAGTAAGCCTTTATATAACTTTATATATCGGTAATTGTAGTGTTGGTTTGATTGGGCCCATTTTTTCTTGTATTCAGTAAATTGACAGTTTTACAGTATAACTTATCCAGCTCAGAAATTCTACCTGCAATTATAAAACTCCCTTTCATTAGAGATTACCTAGCACTTACAGTGACTCATCAGTTTCAGTTTAAAATCTAGTTAGACAAACGTTTAGATTTTACTAAGCCCCCAGTTATGTTTCAGGGTTTTATTTTGTTTCACTTTATTGCTTTTGTGGCTGCTACTGTATTCTATGATTGGTTTGAATAAAAAGCTTTTAAAAAGCTTCTTAAAAATATCATTGAATCATAATTCTCAGCAGTGCTTTTTTTCTAAAAAAAAAAAAAACAAACAAAAAAAAAAAAAACAAAGGTGCCGGAGCTTACACACATCATACAACCTGCCTTGTCTACGCTACAAGGTTCCATCCCAAAAAGGTGCTGGAACTCCGTTCTGAGCGTTCTATGAGAAAAAAAGCCCTGATTCTCAGAATCAATTCACATGTATGACTTCATAAAATGTGACTTTGATGACAAATTATGCCCATTCAATGCCCTACCTGAAACACTGCAATTTTTCTAACTGGATGTGATTTTTAAAATGCATGTATGATCCATCTGTGTAACATTCCAAGCAAGTTTCTAACTTTTTCCACCTCCAAGAGATAAAGAGTTTTTGCATAAAAAAATGTGTAATATCTTCAGTGCTTTAGAGATTTGGTAGGGGAACAGTAATGGTTGGATAGCGATTTATTTCGTTTTCTGCCACGCAAATCATTTGTTTTTTCTTGCAATTCATTTACTGTAGTATATTTTCTTCATTCTTGCAGCCTAGCAGCAGCCAGGCAGCAGAATATAAATGTAATGTTTGTATCCATCATATAAAATCTAAACTAGATGTTTAGAAAGGAACCAGCCTCCCTGCTGTATTAATATCCAGCCATGTGTTACATAATCGTCATTACCATAGTAACTAGCATTTCACAACTATTAAGGCTTTTTATCCTTAAAAAAACCCCTTTTATTTAGGTTGGGAAGGCTGAACTTCCACAGCAAAGCTGTGAAAAACCAATGTGGCAAGCCTCAAGATCCATCAGTGCTTTTGGAACTAATCTGAGCAATCCTAAAACAGAACACAGAATGTCCATTGCGCCATACTTTGTCCACCTAAGGAACCTGTGAAGACTGAGCAGAATGAAACTCAAGACTAGGAAGCAGCAAAGCAGTCAAGTTAAGGAGAGCGGAGAACTTGAGAAGTCTCCAGGTCAAATCTCCCTGAAGTTATCAACCCAGAAGATTATCTAACTAAGGAATTATGCTCTCTGCATTAAGACTTTTTTTCTCTTAAATGCTGAGATAATAGTAGCGACAGAGCATTTTAATTACTAGAACAATTTGGTATAAAGAATGGAAAAATTTATTATTTTGTAACTTTGTTCTTCTTTACCACTATGATTCTCCCCTTCCCCCATGCACGAGAATTTTCAAACTTGTAAATACCAAAGGAATTAAGAAGTGAGTGCAGAGAATGTGGTTATCATGAGGTCTTATGCCACTTCTGGATTGTTGCAGAGAAATTAAGAAAGAAACACAACCTCCAATCCAGTTTTCTGATCAGAGGCACCTCAATGTCTTTGGTGGAATTTTATCATGCTGGCAGAATACCTAGCACATTTCATTTTTTGTGCATTACCTGTTTGGATATGTGACATTATTCAGTGCTTTCCCATTCTCACTAAGCCAACGATTTGCTAATGCTTGTTGGATGTTTGGTCTCTTTGCAGGATCTGGTTCTAGTAGAATTTTTAAGAAGTTTACAGCTGCTGCAAAGACATTGAAAACAAAGGGAGGGGGAGGAAGTGTTATTTACTTTGTGGCTATATTTATTCTTTTGAAGTCAAATAAGTTATTAAGGTATTTTAGAATTACAGTTTTTATCTCAAAATCTGAAATACAATATCCTTGCTGCATTTACACATTGCTTTTATACATTAAAAGAGTAAGTTGGTAAGCTAAGGAAGTCCCTTATACAGTAGTGAAAAAGATAACTTCATTCGCTAAGAAAATACTCTCCAAATAAGATAATTCAATCTTGATAAACAGTTGTATTTTAAATAACAATTTTGACCATCCTTGAATTATAAATTGCAATGGCTATATTCCAGATTGCATTACACAATGATTCTTGTATTCAAGGTTTCTTGAATACTTCAAAGTGATTAAGTTTACACCCAATTTTAATTCATGGTTTATAAAAAGATGATACTAGATCAGTGGTTCTCAACCTATGGGTCAGGACCCCATTTGGGGTTGAACGACCATTTCACGGGGGTCGCCAAACAACGCAGTCCGCCATTTTTCCCCCCCTTTCCTTAGCTGTGCTACTCCCTTTTATTCTATTGGCTTTTGAAAGCCAATAGTATAGACTCTCTTGAATAAAGTCTAATTCTATTGGTTTTCAAAAGCCAATAGGAATTGTCCAGACTGTCTCTGCCCTGCTGAGCCCGCCAAAAGTCCCATTCTGCAAACGGTGCTGCACCAGTTGAGTAGTCCTCAACTTACGACCGGTTGAGTAGTCCTCGACTTACGACCGGTTGGGGGGTCGCAGCATTAAAAAGGTTGAGAACCACTGTGCTAGATTGTGTGTGTAAATAATTGTATGTTTTCTTCAGTTTTTCCCCTTCTTTTATAAATTCGTGTATATGAATTTTCCATGTTGTCAGGAAATTAATAATATTTATTTATTTATTTTTACTGTTGTTTTTACCTCTATCATCTTTCCTTTGGAATCTCAAAACACCACTCAAAGCAGCATATATAACCTTCCCTCCCCTTGAGATAGGTTGGGTATTTTTTTCCAAAGTACCCAATGAGCTTCCACGGCTAAGGGTGGATTTAAACTTGGGTCTCCCAGGTTCTACTCCGTCACCTTAAACATACTTCCACATTAGCTCCTTTAAAAGAAATAAATTTGTGTTATTTTATTGTTTTTTAAAAGTTAAACTCTACAGTACTCTCTCTGATGATTTAGAAAACCAGAACAGCAGTCTTGAAAGGACTTTGTATCTCTTTAACTTTAAAAAAAAAATCTATTCAGTATCTCCCGAGTAGAACGAATTCTAAGATTTTTATTTTTAATTTCAGGGAGATAAACTTGTTGTCTGCACAGTCCTAATCATTTAAATGGATAGTCGGCAATAAATTAATGAGGCACTTGTAATTATGTGAATGGCCCACCTGGTGCATTAACTGATGACTAGAGAAAACATCTGAACTCTGTGCCAAAATAATACTGGGTAAGTTTCAGGGTAAATGCTTGGAAAACATTCCTACAACATTCTGCTCTTAAGAATACCAGCCCAACTAAAAGGAACAGCACTGTATCTATTTCTGCATTTCACATGTCTGAATAAGGTGGAATAATCTGCAGAATTTGTGTACTCTGTCTGTAACAAAAAGACATCAAATTTATCTTTAAAAGGCTATCATTCATAGGCAGATTGTCACCCATCCTTTCACAACTGTACAAAGGGATTCGCTTAATCACTATTCTAGCAAACAATGATGTCAAAGGTTTTCCACATGAAATCAGGAAAAGGAAATATGTGCTCATGTTCCACAATAGATCAAGGACAAGGAAGAGAAAGGATTCTGTCCAATAAATCAGGATTAGATACTATCTAGGCAATATTACATCTGTTTTGAACATCCTGCGGGAATCATTATTTCTGCTGACCTGGATATTATCCAGTTTATGTCACATATGATGCAAAGGGATATTTACATAAAGAATTTGCAAATAATCATTTTTTTATTTTGTGTGTATTTGGTGTATGGGAATTTTAACAATTCTTCTGATGCTTTTCCACCAATAAAACATCAGAGCTTTCAAACCAGTATCGACAACAGCACTTTATTCCCCACACCAACATTATGATACTAGGAAATTAAGCAATAGCTATCCATTTCAAGTGGCACAGATGGTAGCTTAAACATAGCTACAATCTCAGGAGAATCAAGTGGGGCAGTCTGTAATCAAGCGATCTGGAGCTTACAGGCCTTATAAAACACCAATAGTCATGTTAGTCAACACTGAGCAACTTTCTAGCACAGGGGTGTCAAACTGCCAGTGGGCTGGATGCATCATACCGAAACCGCACCCACCCCATTGCTGGCAATGGAAAAAAAGTCACGATACATCGCGACATGTCACATGATGTTGCGAGTTTGACACTCCTGTTCTAACATATAGCAACTAAAACACACTTACAAATGTACCTTTATAATCCATATAAGTTGGTGACACAGGAAGAATAGAATCAGTCATAAATTGGACATTAAGCAGAAAAGAATAACAGCCTGTTAACAGTAATGTTTTTTCCTCTTCTTCCTCGTTCTTTTCTCAGGAACTAAATATCTCACACCATATAAAAGTTATTCCTTCAACTAAACCTTGAGTATCATGTCACTGCCTAATTTCCCCCCCCCCCATCCTCTTCTACTCTTTTTTTTCTCAAACTATAGGACAGTGATAGTGAACCTTTTAGAGACCGAGTGCCCAAACTGCAACCCAAAACCAACTTATTTATCGCCGGGTGCCAGGCGGGCATGGCCCAGTGGATGGGTGTGGCTGTGGTGCTCATGGCAGACTGGGTGGGTGTGGCCAAGGTGGGCGTGATCACCTCAATGTTGCTTGTGGGGAGGGACACCTGTGGGGACCGGGCAGGGTTGGGGGAAATCCAGGGGGTCTCTGGCAGGTGAGGCAGTGGGCAGGAGGCTCGTCCTGCGGGGTGAGGCAAGGCGAGGCAGGGCAGGGGAGCCATTGTCTCAGGGCAAGGTGAGGCAGGGGCCAGGGCGGTTGCTGCCTGACACCATCGGCCCCTGCCCACAGAGGCTAGTGAGCGCATAGGTACTGGGATGCATCCAGCCACATGGACCTCGGCAAGTTAGTGGGCGGCTGGTTGAAGAGGGACGGTTGCCATCTCCAGGGCATGGTGCACGTGCCCACAGAGAGGGTTCTGAGTGCCGCCTCTGGCACGCGTGCCATAGGTTCGCCACCACTGCTATAAGACTATGCATTTCCTAACTAATGATTTATAGTGTCTTTTAGTATCACCCAGCCATTGTTGTGACTATAAATCTTATCTTAATTACTGTTATATCAAGCCAGCGATGGTTGGATGAATCCTAAGATGCTAAAAAAAAAACACTGGAGGGAAATTGGACTAATTTTAATACTGGTCTAACTTGTTAATAAATACCCCTTCTATTTCTATCTAATTTTCTCTAAGATGCATTACAATTCTGTTAAATTATGTACAAACATTTGTTATATGTATAAATAATCAACATTTGCAAATGCCAACAATTAAGTAAGCTGTGAAACAGACTTATGAGCCATATACACTAACATGCTACTGTTCCTTTTTAATACAGCACAAGTAGCTAATTTGTAAGAATACATCTATGGTAGATACCTCTTCAATTGTAACAATGTCAAACAGCAAAGGACAGTCCAAAATAAGTTGGAAATACAGCAAAACTAAAGTCCGGTGGCCTATCAAACAATCTTTTGGACTCATTTCCAATCCTTCATTTTCCTTTTGTAGATGAGAGACATCTGAAGCTCAACAGTCATAAAACAAGAAATAAATATTTGAACAGGAAAATGTTTGAGATTACAGCCAAGGTTCTCAAAGTTAGAATCCAGCCAATTGAAAATAACTAACAGAACGGTTATATTTTTTTAGAATAACTTTTAAGGTGGTAATTTTAGACTCTCTTACCTAAGAATGAATCCACTTAATACAATAAGACCTACTGTGAAACATATGTATCAATTAACTGTAACATAACCAACTAAAATGTTATTAATTTGACTTTGTTGTTTCTGCATTCTATGTCTCTTAAAAACATAATACTGGCACATGTTTTCAAATGGCAAATAAAACAGCTTTCAAAAAGTGACTGGTTATCTGAAATTGTTTATTTCACACTAAACATAAGCAGTCCACAACTCACAGACAGCATGAAGCTCCTTAGTCCCCATATGGTCCCTTGAATACTTTAAAATCATACTGGTGAGATTTGGTACATGCGGTTTCTAGCTGTTTATAATTGTTCCAACCATCTCACAAATAAGATCCCATGGACATTACATTATAATCACTTAAAGGACAGTGTTAAATTGATATTGATGTGTGCTGTTATACAATGGGGTTTTTTTGCCTTTGAGTCAGTACTGACCCCTGGCAATTGTTGGAATCGGTTCCTGCAATTTTAATAGCAAAATTTCAGAAATGTTTTGCCATTGCCTACTTCATAGGGCTGAGAGAGAATAACTGGCCCAAGGGCAACAACCTGGCTTTGCTTTGTGCCTAAGGAAAGACTAGAACTCATAATCTCCTGGTTTCTTGCCTGATACTATAACCATCACACCAAACTGGCTCTCAGTAATATTATGCAGCATGCCATAAATTTGCTGTCTCTGGAAAACACATAGCTAATATTGTCAGAACTACTGTATATGGACAGAATCACAACAGTTTAAGTAGCATAACACTGAAATAATTTAAATTGCTATGCTAATATTTACAATTTGTTAACTTGTCAAAACTGCCTGCTCTTTTAATGCTGGACTTTTTTTTTCTTTGGGGGGTTTATGATTTTTTTTATATTAAGGATCACCTTGAACAGTGAGATGGATGCCAAATAAATTAGATAATATTAATTACTTTTCATGACAATGATATTGTTCTTATTAAAAATAACAAATATTCCCCTTCCAAATACTAAACAAGCAAAAGTGAAAGTTTCTATTTACTTCTTTTGGCCACAGAAAACATCCAATACACATGACCATTTGAAACATTGGATTGGATGAATTACATTAATTTCACACAGGAACAAAACAAGATAAAATTACAATGAAAATGTAACAGAACAAAATATAAATGATTCATTAAAGAACCAGGTATGCAATTATATAATACCAAATTGCCCATAATTGCCACTTCAAAAAAGAATTCACAAACAAAATCTTTCCTTTTCTTTAGATGCAATCTTCTAACCTGACACTTAAAATAAACATGGGATGGGAAAGGCAGCATTTTGTATCTAAAGTCAACAAAGCAATTGCCCAGGATTCCAGTAGGATTTGGCTGGCAGTTTCAGTATGATGGGGGTTTGCACATAAGATGACTTTGAACTGGAAGTATGAATATAAATCAGCTAGTCTCTGGGAAATCTTTTGAACAAAATATCAAGAAAACTGTTGGAAAGAAACAGTGACAGTTTGAAGGGGGAGTCTTTGTTCTTCTTAGTTAAATATTCAGCTGTTTAAATATTTAGTAATGTGGAAACTGAATTTAATCGCAGTTCTATTACTTCTATTTATTATCTTTAAATGTATATGAAAACTAAAGAAAGAAAATTTCTACAAAGCTTGGTTTACCACAGAAAAAGCCCAAATAATATTTTTATATCTCTATGGTGTTTTGGGATAAATTATTTTTAGATATAAAGCTGGAACAAGTCCCATTGAGATCAACAGAATTTACTATTGGGCAGCCTGTTCTTTAACTTATATTAATAAAAAAAATACCTGCTCACTTGCTCTGGAGCCAATTCATTAGCAACTTGTGTAAATTCTTGTCCACAAGAAATTAACACTGTGGCCTATCTTTAATTGTGAGCCTAGGTAGTCCTGGTTCAGCAACCATTCAAAATTACAATGGTGCTGAATGAGAAGACTTGTGACTGGTCCTCATAGTTGTAACTGTGGCAGCATTCATGTGGTCATGATTTAGGTACTTGGCAACTGGCTTGCAATTACAATATCACAGCATTCCACAGTTACATGATCAACATTTGTGACCTTTGATGCAAGTTTCCAATAAACAGTCAATGGGGAAACCAGCAGGAGGTCACAAATGGTAATCATGTGATATTGTGCCTAACAACCATGTGGGATTCACCTAAAATGGCAACTGGGACTACTATTGTAAGTCATTAGCATAACCATGTGACTATGTGCTTTATGACCACATAGCGATGGAGTTTCCAATCCCGAGTACTGTTATTAACTAAGGACTACCTGTAATGGGAGCTTTAAAAAAATCAGCAATACTTAAGTACATTTACCTGTAGAAAGCTGAGTAGGATATGGATTCATTTCTTTGTCTATCATCTTCTGGTACAAAGCTCTCAGACTGAATGGTTCAACAGTAAATGGTAGTGTCCCAGTCAACATTGCATACATATTCACACCACTGCAAGAGAAGAGTGGTGGGAGAAAAGAAGGTAAGCAATAAGTTCTACTGGAAATGAAACAAAAGATGCAAAGAAGAGATTATATTTAGTGGCAAGCAGCTATCACGTATGGAGTATAAAATAACATGTTAGGACATTCTTGGTGTATTTAACCCACAACAATCTTCTGTGATTGGTAACAACTCTTAAAGTCATCCTAAGATCCTATTAACTGGGAATCAATGCCTGACCATGAAAACATACAGATGTAAAATAGATGTAAAGAGATTTATGATCTCTTCCAACATGAATTATAACATGGCTTTCACCTGGATTGAAAAAAAGAATCTGCTAGGTGGCTATAGTGCATTCAGAAAGTATTCAGACTGCTTTCACTTTTATCAATTTTGTTATTATGCTGCAGCCTGATTCCACAGTTGTTAAAATTCATTTTTTTCTCTTTAATCTACACTGTACCCATAACGACAAAATGAAAACATTTTGAAAACAATGTGGTGTATATGCAGCCATTGAAACTTCGAAATTGGGTTGTAAGTAGCTCTGGGAGGTCTGTGGTAATTTTGAATGGTTATTAAATGACTGGTTGTTAAACAAGGATCACCTGCACATTTGTAACTGAAGACATTATCTCCATAATATTAAATCCCTTTTCTCTAATTTTCTTTAACAAATACCGTAAATGCCGGCGTATAAGACGACTTCCGCGAGCGCTGAAATCGGCGCCAAAGATGGGGGTCGTCTTATACGCCGAGTCGTCTTATACGCCGGAAATACTGGTAGTTTCTGGCGTATAAGACGACGTTCTAGGAATGCGGCCCGGCTATAAAGACGGGGGTCGTCTTATACGCCGGGTCGCCTAATACGCCGGCATATACGGTACTTTTTGTGCTTTTGTAACAGTGCCTTGAATATAGAGCTCTGGCATTTTGATTGGTCAGATATTAGGTAAATTAGGTGCAATCAGATATCCATTTTCAAAGTGGAATATTTTGTAATAATGTTCAACTTTAAATATAACTTCTTTATTTTTGCCAGTGTAAACAATAAACATGATATGGAAAGAGAATATGCTGGTTTTAAACTACATTAACTCACATGGACCAAACATCTATTTTGGGACCATATTTCTTCCTTGCAAGAAGTTCTGGTGCTGCATAAGCAGGACTACCGCATTGGGTGCTGAATGGATCAGTGTAGCCAAGGATACTTGCACAATTGCTCAAACCAAAGTCTGTGAGGAAAAACAAAGAATAGACATTTAAATTCCGCATTGGAAAGACTGTCATCTCTATATGGTTATCATTTATTACCATCATATATTTTTCTTTTTATAAATCTCGTTTAAGTTAAAGCAGAAACTTTCCTCAAATGGCACTCTGAAGACATAATGAATCACAATTACCATCATTTCTAGCTAGCATGTAGTCCATCTATAGTGCTATAGAGCACCTGGTTGGGTGTAAAGGTAAGTTACAGAGTTGTAATCTGAATGCTGCTTTCTTAAATTATACAAGAAATGGAAATAATGTTCCAAAAGCAGATAAGCATAACTTCCTAGGGAATAATTCTGATTTTCTTGCATCTGTGAAACAGTAACAGTAATTAAGACCTATCCATATATCAGCAAGCTTTTTACATACTGATCCACCTTGGAAAGGAACAAAGGAGTTAAGTACACCATTGGGTATGAATAGTTTAAGATTCTTAAATGGAACCTGATAGGAATTGTATTCATGTGCACATAAAACACTCAGCTGCAAGATATAATACACACAACAGGGCTAAATATAAAAAAGGCACATTTAATCACAAACAAGCAGTAATAGAAGCTGAGATAGGTAGTATTATTTCTTTTAATGTAAACTGTGATTAACTTGAATATACTCAAGTAAGTAGCCTACACTTTTTAATTAAAATGTTTATAATTATGATTTCAAATCAAAACCTTTCCATTAAAAGGTACTATTGCCAAACACCAATATTAATATTTCCTTTGAAAATAACTGTCATCCTCATTTTAAGATTGGTCATTTGTTAACAAAGCCTTTGCTCTTGGATACATAATAACCTGCTGCATTTGAGGCTATCAGAGTTGAATAAAACCATATAGAACCAAAATCTCTATCGTACGTTCTTATGTTCTATGGCAGACCTGTCAAACTTGCGATGTCATGTGACATCGCGCAACATATTGTGACTTTTTCCCCATTGCCAGCAATGGGGTAGGCGTGGTTTTGGCGTGACGTATCCGGCCTGCAGTTTGACATCCCTATTCTATGGTATGTTCTATGGAAGTGTTTCTCAGCCTTGGGAACTTTCAGATGTGTGGACTTCAACTCCCAGAATTTCCCAGCCAGCACGGGGAACACAGTCTAAAATGAAGAAATGTTTAGACAACTAAAGCAAATGTAAAATAGCTATATTCTAGTTTTGTTTTATATATATTGTTTGGCAGTGACTGCATATAGAAGCCAGCTTTATATGTTCTGGAGTAATCAAACAGCCCATTATAAGAACAAAAGCTACCAGATATTAATACAACTTTAAAATATTTCTGCTCTCACCTAGGCTTTAATCTAAAGTTGTTGGTTGGCTAATAGTAATGTGTATTTTTCAATACACTTGTGAATGCTGTTTCTTACATACAAATGTTATATAGGTCTTTCCCAAATAAGTGCCTTTTCTCAAAGCTGTTTTGTCAACTTTCACCTCATAAGTGCCCTTAAACTGTATGAGACAAAGCTTTGTTTTACAGATTTTCTGGCCCACTTAAGAGATAGTAATGCCTCTGTTTTTAACTCACATGCCTGTTTTATTCACATACACTGTTGCAACAAAATGAGTTGACTTGGCAGAATTAAATCCCTAAGCAGATGCTTTTATAAGGGGAATATTTTCCTTTTAATGCCCACAATTAACATGAATGGGAGTTTTACATGGATAGTAATAAAAGACGACTCATTTATGATTTGTGCAGAATGTGTATGATCAATGAAAAAAACACTGCGGTTTTGGAGACAGAGGTACAATCAAGAAACCATTGGGTTTTCTCAAGGTACTTGTTATTTTAATTTTGCAGACAAATGTATTGATTGGACACTAAAGTTTGCCTCACATTATGTGAACAAATATCCCATTTGATTGCAGCATCAAAAAGATCTTCTTAAACTCTAAGTCACTTAAAATAGGAAGCCAAATGGCAAGGGGAAATGTTTGTTCTACTTCTCCAAACATTCAGCATGCTTTAGACGAAAGGCTTCACAAAATATGTATTTTTAAATTTACTATAATTTCTCTGTGTTTGTGAAGAAACACCTGAATTACAGATATAATCCAATAGTAAAAGTTTAATATTTTTAAAACCCAGGTGTTGTGTTAATTTATGACAAAAATGCTGATTAGTGACTGAAAACTACAATTACTACAAGACTTTCATACCAATAAGCTTGATATTGTTGTCTTCATCTAGCAGAAGGTTTTCTATCTTCAGATCTCTGCAATATATAAAGATATTAAATGAGATTTTAAACAACTGACTTTCAATATTTTCAAATTTCAAAAAAGATATCTGATTACCTTTTTGTACAAATTGGTATAATTCTTGTTTTTATAAAAATTTGAAGTAAATATATTTCGGAATATTTTCATAATAATGAATAAATAGATCTGTTTTTTTAAAAAAACAACTTTTATTGGTTTTTTAAATTTCTTAAAGCAAAGTATTCAGGACACACCGTGGTGCTGGGGTAATCAAACATCCTAAAACAAAACATATATACATAGTACAATCAATACATCAAATATTCCTTCTCTTTTTCCCTCAAATAGCATAGTATATTTAAAATATCCAATTCTAGCTTAAATTTATTCAACCTGAACCTGTTTTTAAGCTTCATTAATTTACAATACCATAATCAAATTAACTTTAAATAAAAACATTTTCAATTCAAATATCCCTTCCAAGTATGTTCTACTTTCTTAATTTTATCAAAATCTTATTTATTTCATCTTCCACTAATCTCCCCTATGTAAAGTAAAATATTAATCTATCCTATATCTATCTAATCCATTAGTTAATCAATCTCTTTAAGCTAAAAAGATAGTATCAGACCTTAAATCATGTCAATCCATTCAACAGAAATCAAAGCTCACCAGTTAATTATCATAACTGATAACATCCATATATATCATCAAAGAATCATATCATCTTATTAAATTGCAATTGATTAATAATTCAATTCAAATCTAAAACATCTCTTCAATTTTCTTCATTCCATTACATAATAATTTTCATAAAAATAAACCTAACATTCTAAAAAGAACATTCTTAATATTCGATATTGCCTTTAGTCCACTATATAAAAAATATTTCATTTTTAAGCAAAAATATTGATTTATCCTAGACACATCTAAATGTATGTATTTATCAATCTATTCTATATGTATCTAATCCTTCAATTAATTGATCTCTTTGAGCTGACATATCTGACCTTAAATCATTTCAATCCATTGAACAGAATTCAAATTTCAACCAGTTAATTATCATAGCTAAACGTCCATGTTATAAAACAAACAAGTCGTCTTATATAATTCAATCCAAATCTGAGACATCTCATTACTTCAAACTCATAATCTTAGTCCTTACATCAGTCCATAGTTCTAGGTTGCCTTTAATCCAGTTTATGAAATTTTAAATTTCATTTTTCAATCTTATTCTAGCTTTCATCTTACGCCAGGTAGGTTTCCATATCAGGGCTTCCCTTCTAGATGATGAATCTCTTTTTGTTACTTGTAGTGTCATTTGATTCGATGAAAACCATCTTGGTCTCTGATTAGGTCCTCTGTTTCTCTTGTCCATAAAGCCTCGTTGCTTCAGAAGTTCAAAATTCAATCTTTGCTTTTCCTGGTCTTGCTTGTAGGGCAAAGTAAAATTCTGTTTATTCTCAGTTAAGTCCTCTTCTTGTATAATCTGTTTTGTAGAGTAGTCAAGTGTAATCTGAGAGTCAGTTTTAAGGTTTAAAGTAGGAGTTCTGGCTCATAGTCCTGTAGTAAACTCTTTTATTACAGTATATATTTCTTCTTTGGCCTCACAGATCTTTTCCAGTATAAGTTTACAGTTTAAATGTGATTGAGGTTTCTCCGTTTTAGCAATAGGTAAAGAAAAAATCCTTTTTCCTTTATTTTTTTTCCTTTTTAGTGAAGGTTACAATTGGACATTTCCTCCCCCACAGATCACACAGCTGGCTCAAATTATCTTTTCTCTTGAAAAGCAGTTTGAAGGCCAAAACCATCTCATCTCCAAATAGTCAATAATCCAATATTAACTTTTGACCAGTAGGTGTCCTCAGTAAGCTAAAAAGACTTCTTCAAAGGCCATTTTTCCCTTTTTCTATTTTTTAAAGGAAGAATGGAAAAAGAAATACTCTGCCAATATAATATCGCTCCAAAAAAGAAAAAACAAAGAAAAAACAATTTTTCTATAGCTCAACGTAAATAGAGATAAAATATAGTCTTTAAATGAATAATTTTTTTCTGTCCTTTTATAAAATGCCTTTGTTCCCACAATTACAAAAGCTGATGTCAGGGCTCTGACTAATGAAGCACTTCAAAGAACTTTCAAGCAGCGATATGTGAACAAAAACCTAGCGAGGGGGTTTATTGAATGGGCCAAATCTTCCGTGGGAGCCCCTGTGTTGTTCAAAGAGAAACAAGATGGGTCTCTTCGTCTCTGCGTAGACTACAAGGGACTCAACGCTGTAAGTGTGGAAAATAAATACCCCCTCCCCCTCCTAAAGGATTTATTGACCCATCTGGCTAAGGGGAGTGTCTTCACTAAGTTAGATCTAAGAGAGGCATACTACCGGGTGAGAATAAAAGAGGGAGATGAATGGAAAACTGCCTTCAACTGTCCTATGGGGAGCTATCAGTTCAAAGTCATGCCATTTGGACTACAGGGGGCCCCAGCTGTATTTATGCAGTTGGTTAATGAGGTTCTACATGATCACTTGTACAAAGGGGTTTTGGTGTATCTTGATGATATCCTGATATACAGCACAAGGGACGAGGGAATATTTCCAAAGACAAGCTTTTACAGGCAAAAATAGGATGGGGTGAGGAGAGGAACAAAAGGGGTCTCACCCGGATCATCCGCGGTGGATCTGTAACACTTAGATGACAATGTGACTTTCGGCTGGTGCAGCAGGGTGATTGGCCACCTTGCAGGCCGGTCTTTGCTCCGTTGGAGACACGGGGGAAGCTGCTGCCCTCCCCTATCTACCAGCAAGCCTCCTCCTCAGTGGTCGCCCCTCCAGGGTGACTTTCCACCCCCTAGGGGGTCTACGGCGAAGGAAACTCCAGACGGCGCGGAGACAAGTCTCCAGGCACGACCAGCGTCGCCGCGTTCCGGAACCGGAAGTCAATAGATCTGTTATTTTGAAGTTGATGCAAACAGCACTTGCAGCACAATTCATTATGGTATTCTTCCATTTTATTTACTCTATCCTACGCTAATGCCATAAAAACAAACATGTATAGTAACAAAAAATGCAATAAGTTTATATCATTTCTATAAAAAATTATAAACAAGCTAATTCAGCTTTAACATAAATCTTCAAAATATTAATTATGAATCAAATATTCTGTTATTCTATTTCTCTATTAAGAGCGACCAGTATGAGACACAAGGTTTCGTGTGCTTCCGCAAGCATTTTTCTACATCTTCCAGGGCCTCTCGGCCACCTGCCCTATGTTAGAGGCATATTCCATTAATTTGCATTGCTACCTCCTCACTGTGTCTTTTGTTTTCCATCAAAATGCAACAAAAAGATGGCCAATACCTGCTTTTGCTTAAATACATGAGCTGTTATAATGAAAAGGTGTGAATGAAAAGGTTCAGAAGAAAAGCTAACTTTGGATTTATTTATTTTTTAAAGTCAGTCTTCAAGACCCCTGGCATGAATCCAATTCTAGCGGCTGTATTGCTCTAAAATAAAATTAGCAGTATGATATTTCAAGGAATAAGAAATGCATACCATGAAACAAATTTAAGATGCTTCAAATACCTATACTAAAAGCTGCCATCTTGGTTTTATTATTGTTTAACTGTTTCTATGGAATTTACATTTAGAACATGGTCAATGTATTCAATATGCTTCATTAGAGATTTTACATTCAACACAACTGTCATTGGATGGGATAATTACTTGGATTAGAATAGACAGGAGTGAAAATGTCCTTTTTCTTAGAACAGAACATCAGATGGATTTTAGGTAAACTGAAAAATGCCTTTTGAAGTTGTTTGAATAGAGAGAAAAGCACAAATGCCAGCAGGATTTTTTTTTCTCCCAAGGCAAATAGCGAATACCAAGGAGCAATTATGTCAGGATGGCAGGACAGGAAAGAGATCATTCTCCTTGTTTGTCATAATGAAATAAAATAAAGGAAGTGTTTCTTAGTCTAAATATATTTCTAATATGGTAATATGTTTTAATAACTACCTTTCAACAATCACAAGAACTTTTTTACAGTAAATTTCTTAGCATAGTCAACTGGATGGAACAATTCCAGTAATTCAGATAGTTCCCAATAAAAATTTATAGCAAATCATGATATATGTTTATTACTGAAAATGATAAAGCCAAGGAAATGCTACTGAAGGAAAACCTTACTTAAATAAAGCTCTAGGAACCAGATGCTGCAAGCCACATGAATACCTACTATTGCCTTTAAACACAGTGGAAACAATGCAACATACTTTTTTATATATCACATCCAGAATATAATACATCCTATGCATTAATTACATTTATGTATCTAAAATAATGTATACCTCAAGAAGTATGTTGAACTACTAAGCATGATAATATGGTAAAATCTGAATGAAAATAAACTAATGAGGTATAAGACAAATATACTGGAAAGATTGTTGGGAAACCTTTTAACATTTTTGGTACTAAATCAAAGATAGTAGGACAAACTTTCCAATAAAAATAACTTCAGAAAAATGAAAACAATGTATGATAGATTCATATTAAATGTCATTCTATACTGTAGAAATTTCTATAAATGAAGAGTATTTTATCAATAGATAAGCAGAAATTAAGCTGCTAGTTTCAAAAGTAATTTGATTATTTGTGATCAAACTAATATCAGATTTTAGCAACCAAATCAATAAGTTTTCTCATTATCTTTCCCTAATCTGGTGCTTCAGGTCTTCCAATGATGCACTCATCACTACTTTAACAGAGTCCCTCCATCTTTCTATTGGTTGTCCTTTTCTTCACTTTTTTCCTCCACTTTTCCTAGCAATAGAGCCCTTCTCCCAGAGAGCTAGGTCTTATTATATGTCAAGTTCAATAATTTCATCCATGATGATCCATTTGTGTATTTCTTGGCTATCCACAGTATTCTCAAGAAACTTCAACATCGTAGTTTGAAAGCCTCCATGCTCTATTTATCCCACATCTTCAAAGTCATATGGGGACAATAAGATGTTCAGGGATCCACAGCTTGACATGATTAAAACAATCAACGGAGAGGTTTTTTTGCAATCAATGAAGCACAGACTGACTTTTTCTGGGCATTCCTTGGCTTTCCCAATTATCCAGCATACATCAGCAGCGTCTCATGCTTCTTGCCTTTTATAAACCCACCTTGAACACTGGCTTCTCCATCTCTATGTAGGTAATCACCTACATTGGATGACTCTAAGCCAGGGATAGGCAACCTTGGCTCTTTTAAGACTTGTGGACTTCAACTCCCAGAATTCCTGAGCCAGCAACATGGATGTAAAATTAAAAGATAGTTTTAGTCTCCTTGGTTACGCATCAAAATAAATCATGATAAATGTATCATGCTCATCTTTGGGCAGGTGCTCTATGTGCATACAAGTAGTCTTCAGTTACTGACTGCAAGTGGGACTGGCAACTCCGTCACTAAGCAATGAAGCTGCAAAATGAAATGTCATGTGACTGTGCTGGCTTACATGTCAGTTTTGATTGTGGTTGTTGTCAAGTGAATCATCTGCGATGTTAAGCGTGATGTCACATGACCACAATCTGTGACTTCCTGCCAGCTTCCCCACTGACTTGGCTTGTCAAAAGTCAGCTGTGAAGTTCAGAAATGATGACCATGAAAAACTGTGGTAATAGTAAATGTGAACGAACGATCAATAAATTAGGACCACTTATACTTACAATGTTACTGCCAGAGATCACTTCATGATCTTCCATATCCAACTCAAGTCTTAACAAGCAAAAGACTATTCTCTATTATATATTGTCCTATTTCTCAAAATCTGCTAGTTATCTGAATCATTAAGTTTGAGAAGATAATGTGCACCCAGCTCCTCAATTAAAGAAACAGTGGAAAACAGATACACAGGAAGCAGTCTTTGCTATTGGAACATTATTAAATTCCTTTCCTTGATGTTTTGACAGTAATTAACTGAGTATCTGTAGTTTTAAAATTACTTTAAAAGTTGTCGAGAATTTCCTATGAGATGCTAAAGCAAAACTTCATTCTAAGTCTCCATCATTCCATAGAAAGGCTAATTCATATTAGTCTGCTTTACATTTAGAATTTACATTCTAACAGAAACATGGTGAGTATACTATGCCATAAACCATTTTCATTATGGCTTACTCTAATGAATAATTCAACTCGCTGCCCCATAGCTGTGAAATATTAATCCTGACCCTTCTACCTCCAGAAGACTGCGGAACTGAGGTGAAGTTGTCTATTAGGCAGTTACAGCTTTCAACTGATAGCTTGCAGACTGAAGTTTCATTTCAGAGACATTGGGGGAAATAGGAGCGTTTTTCTATTCATAGACACAACATAGTGGGAAAGAACCAACCCAGAACTAAGGAGAAATTTCCTGACAAAACAATTAATCAGTGGAATGACTTGCTTCCAGAAGTTGTGGTTGCTCCAACAACGGTGATTTTTAAAAAGAGATTGGACAACCATTTGTCTGAAATGGTATAGATTAGAGTTTCCTGCTTGAGAAGAGGATTGGATTAGAAGACCTCCAAGGTCCCTTCCAACTCTGTTATTTTGTTATTTGGTGGGACCTTGCTGAGAAAGAAAAAAATGAAATCTGCAAATCTTACTGGAATTATTTTCCCCATTTCTAGAATTACGTTCTTTAAAAAACAAACAAACCTCAAATGAGTAAGGAATACCAGATTAGATAAACCAGATTAAAAAGAACAAGAATATTTATTTATTTATTTATGAGACTTATATACCGCTTTAAGTGCAAGCACTCTCTAAGCGGTGTACACCAGTAAGCAATGTATATATATATTTACATTGCCCCCAACAATCTGGGTCCTCATTTTACCTACCCCGGAAGGATGGAAGGCTGAGTCAACCTTGAGCCGGTGAGATTTGAACCGCTGACCTGCTGAACACAGTCAGCTAAAGTGGCCTGCAGTACTGCACCCTAACTGCTGCGCCACCTCGGCTCATTATAAAATTTTCTGTGGCAAAAGAAAAAAAATTCTTGTTTGATTTATAGAAAAACGTATTTTTCTTTATAAATTTTCTCATCTCACTGAATTTTACCATAGTCACCAATAACAGGAGCTGAAGCAGATAGGGAGAAGAGAGGTTAAAAAATAGCTATGCTGTGTTGGAATTCTGAGAGTTGCAATCCCAATACATATGGAGGACATCAGCACATGGAAGGATAATAACAAGTGGAGAAAAAATTCTTTTTACCATGGATACGGATAGTAATAGGCATGTATTATTCCAAAAATATGAAACAGGTAATGTTCACCTTACCTGTGAACAACCCCTGCCCGATGTAGATGCTCAACTGCTAATATAAGTTGTCTGATATATTTGCGTGCTTCATGCTCTTCCAACCGCTTCTTCTCATAGATTTTGTGCATTAAGTTGCCTCCTGGGCATAGTTCCATGACAAGGTAGTAACTATTTTCAGTTTCCAAGATATCCAGCAGTTGAGCAATGTTGGGATGACGAATCATTTGCTGGATCTGGCCTTCCCGTCTCAGATTCTTGGTCACATAGGTGTCCTTTTTGGCTCTTTTTTTATCAATAACCTTCACTGCCACCTAGTAAGAAACAAAAAATTGACATTTTTTTTAAAAAATAGTTTTAAATTATATCATTTTCTTCATTCACAATAGAAAAATTCACTTGAAAATATAATATTTAAATGTACTTTTAATTCTAATGTTCATCCCATCCTTACATTATAAAATTAAACCTTTATGTCAAAAGTACAAGTTTTTTAATGAGTCATTTTGTGTATTTCTAAATACCATCTCCATTTTCTTTCTTCCTTCTTGGAAATTATCCACAGAGTTGTATTCAAGTATTACATGAAGGAATTAGTTTATACAAACCTATAGTAATTTGTTTAGACAAAAATCAATTGGTTTACAGAAAATACATCTGCATATGTGTACCAGAAATGGCCATCATTTATGTATTATTTAGAAATAATATTATTAGATAAATATGCTTGGGAAGCAGCTAATAATTTATATTATAATAAATGATAATTCCAACAGGCAAGCACCTGCCACATAACACTTCAGACTTAAGAAGTATAGATAAGAAAGGTAAAAAAGTGGACAGTGGATGCTGCACTTCCTGGAGACAGGATAAGATAAGGTAAGGTAAGGTAAGTTAGATGATAAGGTAAGGTAAGGTACGATAAGAGAAAGAACTGGAGAAAATAAGAAAATAGAAAGAATTGCAAATAGAAAGACTAGCACAAAAATACTGCTTAGATCTGTATATACAGCATATTTCACTAATACATTACAACATCCTAGGTTCTTGAGAACAACTTGATGCACATGAAGGTCAACACCAGCTAAAGAACTGGCAGCTATGACTACAGTGTTGTGAATAGATAACAGCAATCAGCATTGAGAAAGTCACCACCAGACAATTACAAAAAACAGCTTTAATTGGAACAGTGGTACCTTTAGCTCCATCAAACAACATCTGCCTAACTCAGTTTGCTGGGAAGGACTCAACAAGAGGATAAAAATTCCAAATCCAGTCTAAACTGAATGCAATGAAATTTCATTTTAATGTATGCCGATTAGTGTACATTCAATGTGACAATAAAAGTGACACTTATTCTATTCTATTCTATTCTATTCTATTCTGTTCTGTTCTGTTCTGTTCTGTTCTATTCTACTCTACTCTATTCTTCTAAACATTATGCAACCAACCATAATAATCATAATCAGGGTTTTTTTTTGTCATAGAACGCCCAGAACGGAGTTCCAGCACCTTTTTTGGATGGAACCTTGTAGGGTAAGCAAGGCAGATTGTATGACATGTGTGAGTTCCGGTACTTTTTTTTTTTACAAAAAAAGCACCGATCATAATTGTTACATGATTATGTGTGAGAGCCTGTTTGGTGTAACGGTTAAGGCACCAGACTAGAAACTGGGAGATTGTGAGTTCTAGTCCTGCCTTAAGCCCAAAACCAGATGTGTGACCTTGGGCTAGTCATTTTCTTTCAGCCCAAGAAAGGAAGCAATGCAAACCACTTCTGAAAAGTCTTGCTAAAAAAACTGCAGGGACTAATCAAAGCAGTCTCCAAGAATTGGCATGACTGAAGGAGAAAATATGCATATTATTATATGTATAATGCATACTACAAGCAAAAGCATACCTTTGGACAAAGGCAGCCTGAAGCCTCTTCAAACTCATATCAGCTTATTATAGAGCTGCAATAAACTAATATAGCATTGCTAAGACCTCTATCATTATCACCAGCTTGAATAAGAATTGACATACCAGATTATTCAGTGTAAGGACACTTAACACGGCAGCTGCAGCCACCACTTAAGTATCCAGGTTCAAAGTAAAGTAAGAAGCACTCCAAAGCATAAACCTTCTTGGAATAAACTACGGTAGTGATATAGCAATAGGACAGAGGACAGAATTTAATCTCACTTTAACTTCAATAGCAGTAATCTTATTTACATAAATGAGACCTGGCATGAGGCCCATTACTATCTTTGTATAAATTGCTTCAACCAGTGACTAGCATTCTGATTATTTCCTTTCTAAGAAAGAACTTGCCAAAATAATGAAAGTAATAAAATTAATCTACATTAGAAAGTAATTATTGTAAACTACTTCTGAGATAAAATATGAGTTGCTAATGTCGGTGCAGTTTGACCTTATCTTCCAACCGGTGTCCTATGGTTTGGAATGAATGATAGATCTCTACAGATCAAGAGTGAAAAATTGTGTGTGGATTAGATGGGGGAAAGGGAGGGGGGAGAACATTACTGAGAGAGAGGCAAAAAGCTGGTCCTCTGCCAAGACCTAAAGAACAGAGCAATGCAGTACTGCAATTACCTTAACTTTTAATGAAAAAATCAAAGTAAGGCTCTGTGAGGGAGATGGGCAGCTATAAAAATTTGATAATAAAAATAAATAAATTCAGATAAAAGTTCTTTAACAATTTAATTGTACAACATGCTACTGCGGGGGTAGGCAACCTTGGCTCTTTTATGACTCGTGGACTTCAATTCCCAGAATTCCTGAGCCAGACATGGCTGGCTTAGGAATTCTGGGAGATGAAGTCCACGAGTCATAAAAGAGCCAAGGTTGCCTCCAAACCCCTGTACTAGTGCATGGATATTGTTTCCACAAGCTAATTTTTATGATTTTACAAATGGTCTGAAGGAAAATCAGAACTTCTATGCACGTATTAAACAGAAGATGGATTCAGGTAACTAATTATATTAAACCTCAAGACAGCTATTTAAACATGCAGTGTAGTTCTATCACATAAAAAGAGTTTAAAGCAGTTCCACATGGTTAATTATCATGTAAATCCATTCTGCCTTAACCAAGTAACTGGCCTTGCATATGCTTTTGAAATTGAGCATTATACCTTTAAGGAGATTATTCTTAAAGTTTCATCTGCTGAAAGCAAATTGATTTATGCATACTGGAAAGCTATTCCTTGTTGGCAGAAGGTGGAAGTAGAGTTGTAGAAAGAACCAGAAAGAATACATTGTCTTCCAGTCACAGGAAACACCACAGGAAGAAAAACATATTATTTGAAAAGATTTGTGAATCATTTCATTCCCAAACTTAATAGTCTCAACTTTATTAAATGATTTAGATGCAAATTTTAAAAATTACTCTAACTTGGTCTCCTCCAGACCCCAAATTCTAAACGCTAAAGTCTCCTAAACAATTGGAAGCAATCTGGGTCCCCAGGTTGAGAGAGATGTTTTACAGATGGTGGGCAGATATGGTCGTTTATAGCTGAATATCTATCAAACAGCAGATCATCTTATTTGCATTAAACAAAGTTTTTAAAACTATTTTAAGTAAAAGGTGATCTTGGCAATATTTGCTAAGAAACATGTTTAAATCACATTCAACTATTTCTTTTAACCAGAAACATGGCATGTTGTTCACTGAACATTGTAGTCTTGGAAAATTCTGATTTTTTTGTTTCATTTTTCACAACTAGTTCAGTTATATATTACAATTTTTATATGGCATAGCCTATGTTTAGGTAATCAAGCTCTCAAGTTATATACTCTAAATACTGTAGCTTATTTTTAAAGGGTCATCTTAGTTTGCTTATGAATATAGTAATAGAAATTGGTGATTGTTTTTTGTCTACTGTTCTTTTACAGGACTGTCTTACATTAAGGATCTATGCTTCTTTCAATTAAATACATCACTTTCCGATCATTTTTCCCTTTACTTTAAACAGAGGACAATCCTTTGAATTAAAATGGCTACAAAATAATATTATTAAGTATCTCAGTTGTAATGAAAGTCAAAGCAAATGTGTTTCAGTAAGGTTAGTTCTGAATGTAGGTTTGTTTTTCCCTCTGTAAGTTTTACAAATGGCACATGGATGGTTTTCTAGATGTCCAATTTAACATCTTTAATGGAGTAGATCTTTCAAACATGTGGTCATGTCTTATTAATATTTTGACCATAATTATCAACTGCTATGTATATATAATGGTTCTTTCTTTTGTATCAAAAGATAGAAATTAAAAGCACTACTTTTGTTAGTAAGGAGGAATGCATATAGCTAATTAATTTTCCTCACTATTTGTAATAAGTTTCAGCAGCAATAGCAATAGCACTTAGATTTATATACTGCTTCACAGTGCTTTATAGCCCTCTCTAAGTAGTTTACAGAGTCAGCCTATTGATCCCAACAATCTGGGTCCTCATTTTACTGACCTCGGAAGGATGAAAGGCTGAGTCAACCTTGAGCTGCTCAGAATTGAACTCCTGGAGTAAGCAGTGAGTTAGCCTGTAGTACTGTATTCTAAATGCTGCGCCACCACAGCTCTTCAAGTGGGTAGATGAAAGCAATCCTGAAGTAAAAGAGCTTGTCTTATTTAGTTCTTGTTCCTTATGCTTTCAGAATTGCCTTTTCCTTATATTCATTATGCCTAAATTATTTTCAGTTCCAATAAAAAATTCAAGTCATGGCGTTTGTAAAATAGCGTGCTGGTGAGAAACAAAACACTGGTTTCTGTAATTACACTGAGAAAAAGACTTTTAAAAAGGAACCACATGTTCACTGCAAATTACACTGACATACAAATTATTGGAAGTAGATCATTTTACAAAAAGTTCTGTGTGTCTAGAAGTTTATTCAGAACTTTTCCTGAAAAAGTCTTGATGATCTTCTTGTTAAAATATATTTTAATACACATCAATAAAAACAAGTGACCCTTTTTACAAATTTTACAACATGTTATATCCCAGGATAGAGTTTGAAGCTGGAGGATTACAAAACACTAGCTTGCCATTGTCACAGAAGCAGTGAGTACAGTATTGCAGCCCTAGTGTCAATGCTCCAAATATTGTATATTCTTACTTTTGACAATATGTAGAATTGTCTGGTAATTATGGGGTTAATACAGAGCAGAAGGGGGGTTGGGGGTAAAGCCCTTGGGGAAAGAAAGAGGAAGAAAACATTTGACCTTCACACTAATTGGGTAATGTGAGATATGACTGCTAATTTAGGGAGGGAACATGTTGATAATTTAACTGCTCAGAGGAAGAGAACTTAGATCCTAGCATC